CTTTTTACTTCTGAAAAAAATATAAAATGGTGGAAAAAAAGGCAGAATTCTGAGAAAAAAAATCAAAATGTTTCCCTTTTATATCCTATGTAGGAGATCCTCCTGAACCTCATGAACCGCCTGCAGTCAGTTTCACTTTGACGCGCTGCACTCAGAGCGAAACAGACAGAGTTTAAATGAGAATATTTCTGGTTGTTGGCGAGCAGGAGTCAATCTCACAGCTCTCAGAGATTCACAGCACATATGGCTCTGACACAAATTGTACGAGGACAGCAGGATCACACATACAGTACCCACTATACACAGAGAAGTTGTGTATTTATACTGCAAGCTGCCTGGAAGCTGCTCCACTGCTTTAGGTAATGATGCTTCAAGAAACACTTTCACTGTGTAACAGCTGTTTACATCACATGCTGAGGTCTGTGAAGCTGTTTTAAGGCCCTTTCACACAAGCCTAACTGAGTCTGTTTTAATCAAATGTACACACACGGTGCAGAAGATGTATATTACAGAAGTATTACAGCATATGATGCCTGCTCTTTCCTGGATGTGTTTCTTTAAGGCATCTTTTCTGCTTCGAGTCAAGATTTTCTGTAACTCTTTGTCCTATTTTTGGTTCAGTCTTGCTGCAGTAGGTGTTCTAGTTGCAACAACTGTTTTACATTTCACGTCACAGCTAATCCCGACAGCCTCATGCATTCATTGTAGATTCTCCTGCTCTTTATTCCAGTAAAGGTCAGCAGAGTGTGTGTTATGAATGCTGGTGTGACTGTATTTTCTTCTTGCAGTCCACAATACTTACACAATAGTAGGACACAAACAAAAAAAGACCCCTCCGCCTCTTCCACATAATTCACACATGACTACTACTTCTTTCTGGTCGATTTGTGTCTTAAGTGGTTATATTGTGCATTTTTTTCTAGCTTCTTTGCAGTCATATTGTGCAACTCCATGTTTAGATTACCATATATATGTGGCCATATTGCCCTGCCGTAACCTGAATACTCTGTAATATTCAAATGTTACGTAAAGGCTGTTTTCTGTTGGTTCGGTTTCTCACAGTATTTCTGTCCACGCTGGACTTTCGGCCCCTCTTTCCGTTCCTTTTTCCACTTTCCACTTTCCCACCACTTACTGTAGTTCAACGCATCCAAAAAATTACCGAAAGGAAACCCAAATGCTTTTAGGGAAATGTCATTTCTCCAAATTTTAGCAAAGGGTAACTGAGAACGATGACCTTTAATATACCTATTATAATTCTGAAAACTGGACACAGACAAAGGATCTAAATATATTGTGTGATCGAAGGAGAATGTGTTTTAAGCTGATACAAATAAGACAGTTATATTAAAAAAACAGCTGAAAATGTCAGAAGGCTTTTGAGTCGACCCATGAAGAAGTCTGGGAGTTCACAGGAGGAATGTGGGCTTGTTAAATGTGCAGGAAGGAGGGTATGAGTTTGGCTCTGAGGCTGAATTAGCCTCCTGCAGCTCCGCTAACTCTCCGGGTCACGGTGCAGCCTGCAGACACCTGCGAGTCACATGACCTCTGAGGAGTGTTTGGTCAACACTGCTGACCCTTCAGGTGTTCGGGGGGGGGGGGGCGCTCTGCGGTTCACGACCTGGAGTTATTGCTCCACTGGCTGCAGCTGCAAGATTAATGCATTGAGTGTGTTTTTGTTCGTTAGACTGAAATAAGGTCTGTGGTTAACACAAGCTGAAGAGATTTAAACGCTTTGTTCTACGACATAAAATACGCCTGTAAATACCCCACTGGTGAATTTAAAAATGTTGGTAGCTAACAAGGGTCTAAATGAGACGACTAAACGTCATCACGCCGAACGTTAGCCACCTTTAGCTTAGCGGTGGTGACGTGAAGTCATGTGACCGTGCTATAGTTCCTTTATAGCCAACATTAGCCTCCTTTAGCTTAGCGGTGGTGACGTGAAGTTATGTGACCGTGCTGTAGTTCATTGATAGCCCAACATTAGCCGCCTTTAGCTTAGCGGTGGTGACGTGAAGTCATGTGACCGTGCTGTAGTTCCTTTATAGCCCAACATTAGCCGCCTTTAGCTTAGCGGTGGTGACGTGAAGTCATGTGACCGTGCTGTAGTTCCTTTATAGCCCAACATTAGCCGCCTTTAGCTTAGCGGTGGTGACATGAAGTCATGTGACCGTGCTGTAGTTCCTTTATAGCCAACATTAGCCTCCTTTAGCTTAGCGGTGGTGACGTGAAGTCATGTGACCGTGCTATAGTTCCTTTATAGCCAACATTAGCCTCCTTTAGCTTAGCGGTGGTGTCGTGAAGTCATGTGACCGTGCTGTAGTTCCTTTATAGCCCAACATTAGCCGCCTTTAGCTTAGCGGTGGTGACGTGAAGTCATGTGACCATGCTGTAGTTCCTTTATAGCCAACATTAGCCTCCTTTAGCTTAGCGGTGGTGTCGTGAAGTCATGTGACCGTGCTGTAGTTCCTTTATAGCCCAACATTAGCCGCCTTTAGCTTAGCGGTGGTGACGTGAAGTCATGTGACCGTGCTGTAGTTCCTTTATAGCCTAACACTAGCTTTTTACTTCAGAAATCATACAGTGGTGTTAATATGTGGAGATTATCCTGCTGAACTAAACGTGTAAATATCATAAACGTTTGTTTGACTCAGAGATGTTTTTTTCTGAAATCACATGGAGAAATCATATTGAACCAGGGAGATGATGCATTCAGGTTCAGCCTGTAAAAATATGTCATCCCTGACACTTGAATGCCCGATTAAAATGGTTTAAAATCACTAAATTGCAGGAAATGTTCTTATAAAATGCATGTGTTTTGTGTCCTTAATCACATTAATGTGTTAGAGGCTACTGTTGGCTACCAACAGGCTTGGGGTGGACAGTGACATCAACACTGTACAATTCATTTTTACATGACTGCAGTTTGTCTTACTCAGCACAACATAATAAATTGTTGAGGTGGAAACAAATAAAACCTGTACACTAAAGATCGTTAAAGGAGAAATTAATTTCCCTATGTGGAGTAGGTAATACACAGAGTACAGAAATAGGCTTTTTAATGTGGTTATTTTATATGAAATATTAATATATTGTACAACAGAAAATTTACATGACTGATATCGTGATGGAAGATTTTTTGGCGTATCGCCCGGCGCTAATTCACTTTAACTGCTGACACCGCAGCTCCTGGCCTAACAGTTTAAGTCCTTGGCAGGCCTCTAAAGGCACTATTGATCAGGCCTAATTGAAATATCTATGTGCCTGTTGGAGCTTGCATTAAATCATGGCAAACTTCAGAGAAATACAGAACATCTTGGGCGTGTGTCTGCACATAAATATCCAGCGCTGCGCTAACCGGTGCAGATAAAACACCATATAATAATCTTCTGCAGGATCCTTTTTACTCCACCACATGCCAGCACACATCTGAAACCAGGCTCTGCTCTTTATTGATAGCCGTGCAAACCTCATGCCACTTTATTTTTAAAGACTGATCTCATGGAGGAAGTTCCACAAGTGTGCCAAACTGGTGGCTTTTAAGTGGCTTTTGTTCGACGTTAGCCAGCGAGAGGACAGTGCGGGCTTTCATAAACGCCAGGCTGTGCTCCTGCAGGTCCTCGGGTGGAAACATGGAGTTTCAGGGTGTAATTAACCCCTGGAACCCATAAAGAGGCGTTCACTGCAGGGTGCATGGCTCGTCATGCCAGCCCCTGTTTGGGCGGCTTGTATCCGGCTCCAGATGTTTTCCGTTAGCATGTTTGCAAGCTGGAGAATCCGAGACACGCTACACCTACTGTAGACAGTTTACAAAGCTCCAGTGTGTGGACAGAGCTGCACACACACTTGTTAGCATGGCAGGGAAAGGGTGGGAGTGTGTGAATAAAGCAACAGGAAGCATGTTTTATTAGTCAACAGGTCTGGTGCAGATACAAAACAACACACACCGTGCTGGCAGCGATTCAGTGTCTCGCCAACACACATTCAACACTGATTTGAGATGTTAGCATGAGCGCTAACCACAGCCATCTGCTGCTCTGTTAGATGTTGGTCCACCACTCTCAACAATTATTAGATGGATTGCCATGACATTTTGTACAGACATTCATGGTTTTCAGAGGATGAATCCCAGTGAATTTGACCTTTTTTTATCATACGTCACCATGAGTTGACAACTAGTAAAGTATCTCCTTAGTTGTACTCATTATCTCCCAGTTTGGTTGTGTGTCTGGGCCGTTGTGTGTATCCATCGATCTGTTTAAAGCTAATATTGTTTAGCCTACTACTGGACCCAAAAGCCTAATATGTTTTGTGTTGAGTAATGACTGTATGCTCAAGGACCTGTCTTGGTTGCTCTGATTAAATGTGTTTGAAAAACCTCTTGTATTCACTGTTAGACATCGTCGACTGCTTCAGTAGCAAAATACAAAAAAATAGCCTTACTGTACGTCGTCTGTTTTTGGACACATTTTGGCCTTTGTTGTGTCAAAAAATGATATTGGTAGAGAAGTTTCGTCTTATTTAGAAAGGGAGTACTTGCAGATTAAGTTTATACATATATATCATTCATATACACACATTATTAGGAAGTTGGGAACGATACGAGATGAATAAATCCTGGTTTTTTGTTAGCGTTGCCACCATTTTGACTGTAGGGAGTGGACCATAAAGTGAGATTCAACTCAATCTGCGGGACCATTTGTGTTTTTACACATTCAATTCTGGTTTACTACAGTGGTACGAACCTTAAATAAACACATTTTCCCCTGATCTAATTGCGATATATGGATCAGAAGGATGCCTAAATATCATATTCATGATGCTGGTTTGTGAAAGTCTAAAACTGCGATGCTAGCTGACATACAGAGACTCTGTTAGCATCACAATCAAAGTTGCTGAACACTTCAACACCATGGCCTGCTGAGAGACACGTACAGTGTTTGATTAAATGTCCACAAAGACAGTAATTGATGCTATTTGTTCTCTTGTTTCCGCAGACATTCACAGCGTGGTGTAACTCCCACCTGAGGAAAGCAGGAACGCAGATCGACAACATCGAGGAGGACTTCCGGGACGGACTGAAGCTCATGCTGCTGCTGGAGGTCATCTCAGGTAATCAGAAGTTTACTTAACAGGATTACTGGGAACAGAACGGTCCCCTGCTGAGTCTGGAAATCAGGAGCAGTTTGACTTTTGGGGAAATATTTGCTGAAAGTTAGAAGAAGACGTTAGGTTTTAGATCCAAACCTAACGTCTGTGTCCATTACAGTGAAGTCAAAACATCTTAATTTGTTGTACTATTATGTATTTTCAAGTTGATATTGGGCAGTAGTGATATGCTTCTTCTAATCTAAGGGTGTTTCTCAATGTCAAGGACGCTTGCTTGGTAGCACATGTACCTCCGAGTCACTTCCTTCAGAAGCGAGGCAAGAATCCTTCCTAGCCTCGGAAAACGAAGAATGCTGTGCGATTATGGCAAAAATCATAATCACGATTATTTTTGGTCAATAATTGATATCACGATTATTAAATACGATTATTCATTGACTTTGAAAACGTCAATTTATTGAACTTTAAAACAAATTAAAATAATAATTTGAACAGTATCTGTTTAACTGTTGATTACCCTGAACGTATAATTCAACTGAAAAACCAATAAATAAAATAAATGATACATTTATATTTACATTTACATAAATAATATCAAAATAATAAATACCAATAAAAAAGATCAACAAATATTTTGGAGCGCACTTCAACAAGCTACTAAACATATATAAATATGATAAATAAATTAGACTATAAAATAAATTAGATCAAATATGTCACAACCAAGCAAAGCAAAATAATCGTTTTTTTCGATTATGTTGTTTTTGTAATTGTGGCAGGCGAAAATCGTAATTGCGATTAAAAAAACGATTAATTGCACAGCCCTAGTGGAACAGGCTATCAGGTGTGCAGGTGTGCGTCATATGCGAGGCCCCGCCTTAAATGGAGCGCGATTTCTGCCAAAGATTTTGGAAATTGGTCCGTGCGCAAAGCATTGTGGGGATTTTAAGACCGCGGAGGATACACATGTGCAGCCTCGAAATTTCCCGCACCGAAGGACGCCGGGCTCGGTAGAATTCCAAGGATCCTGGACATTGGAACAGTCCTTCGGCGGGACTCGATGACGTAGCATCCTTGAAATAGTGGCTCTGGAGGAGCCTTCCTCGACATTGAAAAACACCCTGACTCTCTGCAAGGAGGCGAAAAATAGTACTGCCAAAAATGCCAAACTAATGCTTTTAAAACAAGAAATATCACGTTATGTTAAAACAGTTTTACTCATAATGAGGAAAGTTGTGCACAAGCAAAACCTGTAACCTTAATACCAAACCTTTCTCATGCAAGTTTAACCTCGGGATCATTTCTATTCTGTCACATTCACGTAACTTCACACAGCTGAATTCATCTGCTCTATTACAGCAGTATTTACCTAAATAAACAGAGTTTGCTTGGTTTTAATTGCAATAAAATGGATCAAAAGGAGGCCGAAATAACTACATCATGATACTAATTTGTAAAAAGTCTGATTCATGCTTTGCCAGGTCTGTCGAAAGACTTTTAAAATGCTTTCTTAATGCAGTTTGGATGAATCAGGGCTATGCTAACACTGTAGCTACACTAACAACACTCAACATAATGTAATTTAAACTACCAATGACTAAGTTAATACACAGATATCTACAAACTTTGTTACTTGAAGATGAAATAACTCAAACAGCATTTAACACGTTTCATATTTTTGTCAATTGTGACTTTATCAATAACCTTTTTTGAGTATTTTATGATTCAACAACGCCAGGAAAATCTCAACGCTGACAGCCATTTGCAACATAGCTTCCCACAAATGTCTTACTTAAGGTGAACATTTGAACTTGTGCAATAATAGGAATAAATTAATAATTTGTGTAAACGAGTATTCGCTTAATGCAGGTTCAAAATCTTCCTCTTTGCATTGACTTGGTATGAAATGCAAATGGGAAATGTCTTTGATTTTGGCACCACTTATCTTATAAAAAGTTATTTATTTTAAATGAGAAACTGCCAGACTTACCCATGATCCTCTCTGTCTGTGTGTTTTCCTCTGCAGGTGAACGCTTGGCCAAACCAGAGAGAGGCAAGATGAGAGTCCACAAGATCTCCAACGTCAACAAAGCGCTCAACTTCATCACCGGCAAAGGAGTGAAGCTGGTGTCCATCGGAGCCGAGGGTGAGTGGAGGATCTCTCTGTGGATCTCTCTCTCTATGAATCTCAGAGAGGAGATCACCGTCACCTGACCTCACAGGAAGTGTGTTTACATCTCAGTGTCACCGTTTGATTTCAATTAGGCCCAAAGGCAAATCTCAACATTTAAAAAAGATTTCACAAAATTAAAAAAATACATATTGTGATTTATTTTTCAAACATAATGTCAAGATATTTAAAAAAACAGTAATAACATTTCTGAAAAATATACAACAGTTAACAGTAAAACACCACTAAATATACAACCACTTAGACAGTAAAACACAAAAAGACCATTTCACTTTTTTTTTTAAACAAACATTTCAGAAAATATAAAAAAATAGAATCAGAAAGTATTATTTAAAAAATACCAAACAACTACCAGAAAATAACATAAAAAAGAAATACAAAAGAAATCTGAAAATAACATTTAAAAAACACAAAAAAATTCACAACAATATTACAAATAACATAATAAAAAACACAAATACTTAGGACCAAAAATAATGTAAAAACATTTTATAAACACTTTCAGTCAACTTGATTTTGAGTTTTGACCTTCAGGGCCACCGTATCACCAGTTCCTCTCCTGTAAATAGCTGTGTATATAAACCGCCCCGCTGTGGTTACCATGGCAGCGCCGCTGTCCGCTGAGCTCTTTAATGAGATCCTAGACGCTCTGCTGCGTTCTCTGAGATCTCGGGATCAGCAAAACCCCTCAGGGCTGCTCGTTGTTTAGTCAATAGCTGGAGAGAAGAGTAAACACTCACTGTCTGTCTGTCTTTATATCTCACACACACACACACACACACACACACACACACACACACACACACACACACACACACACACACACACACACACACACACACACACACACACCCCTCACACACTTCCTCTGGAGTTTCAAATGTGTGCTGCAGGAGTCAAGAATGTTTACAGGCTCTTAAAGGATCAGCTCAAACAAAATGCATGTTTTCCTGCTGATCCCTCTTGGTATTTAGCCATGCAGATATTATAGGTTTGAGGTATTTGTATCGCCCCAGAACAACACTTTTCATTGTGTTGCTCAAAGCATTGAAATATGATATTTTTGAAAAACTTTGCAGGAAATTGTCTTTCAAGAAATGTTGTGCTCAGAAACCTCCACTAACTTGACTGTAACCAAAACCTGCTGGAACTACTTTCTACCAAATAAATAGTCCCAATAAAAACTGTTGATAAATGTCTTTTGTATACCCTTTTTTAATAGGGTTCCTCCCTTAAGTAAATGAATTGACAAACTGGTCATTTCGAGCTCATTCAACTAAGATTTCTATAAATAATTAGTTATATTTTAATGCTTTTTTCATGCAGACTTATTTCCAAGATACTTGATAAACACAAGATTTAAAGTCAGGCTTTTGCATGTTTTTCGGTGGAGAAACTTAAAGGAGCCCTATTCTAATCCTGCAGTGTGTTCTATAGGTCTTAGTGTATGTAAATGGTCTGCAAAGGCTAAAATCCCTGTGTTCGCTGAGAGGGCCCCTTTAATTTATACTAATCTATTAGTCAATAACATTTAAGTGTTGCTTGACTAAGAGTTTCTCTATTCCCGCTTTATTGAGATGGAAACAGAGATTTCCGAAGCAGACCTCTTAACGCTTCAGCACATAATGTCCAGACACCTCTGCATGTTGGAGTAAAACAGGGAAGCGTTGACCCTTTAAATAACATAAACCTGGCAAATGAGTGAATCCATGTTAAACACACAGGGGATCTGACCTCTGACCCCGGCGTTTAACCTCTCTGTGTCTCTGTGCCTGACACACACACGTTGGAATCAGGGTTTCCGTTAGCCGGTAATTACCGGTTTTTAGCTGGTAAAATTTATTAAAAACCGGTAAATTAAAAACCTGCCGGTCAAAATGTCCGGTAATAATTCGGGATGCTCCGATCGATTGGCAGCCGATCATTATCGGCCGATATTCACTCTTAATAGTTTGATCGGTGCTCTATAAAGGCCGATCAGGAGAGCTGGATCTGATCGATATGGACATAAACGAGAGAGAGAGAGATCAGATCAGCTGCTGAGTCAGACGGAGACACGCAGCTCTGCATGATCACCTGAAGCCCCGCCCACTGTTTAGCGAGCTGCATCAGAAACTGACGGGCTGAGAGAGAGAGAGAGAGATTTATTGAAAAATGAATCTGAACTTTTCGATCTGTTACGATTATAAACTGAAGCAATATAAAAATGACTCCCATTAACTGAGTTTTAAACATCAGCGTATCCGGTCATAGTCCGGTAATTACCTGCTAACGGAAACTCTGCCACACAATTCTTATTATTATTATTGAAACATGACCGGTAAGTTTCAAATTTGTCCGATAAAATAAATTCTTTCCGGACATTTGACCGGCAAGAAAAGATCCTAGCGGAAACCCTGGTTGGAATATATCCTTGGTTAGGAAATGTTTTAAAACCCTAAACTGTGTGAAATAAAATCAGCTGACTGATGCATAATCCTGCTACATCTCCATGAAACTCAGATCGATGAAATAATGATTTCACATATTTTACCTCATGATTCACTGTGTGGGTTTTAACGCCCACGCTGCAGAAATCCATATTTATGAATTCATTACTGTCTGATGGTGAGTTTTAAACTATTATGAACTTTTAAAACAAGTAGGGCAATATCATGTTTTTCCAAATACAAATCACCCTGCTTCCAAAACTTTCTAAAGTGCCGGTCAGTGTCTTGATTGTGTTGACAGTATCCAACATTTTCTTGTACCAACTTACATTTCTATACAGTTCAAACAGGGGACGGGTAGCGCAGTGGGTTGTGCGTAGATCATGGGGTCACAGGTTCAAACCCCACTGCAGTCAGCATGTCGTTGTGTCCCTGGGCAAGACACTTCACCCCAAATTGCTCCTGTGGGGATTGTCCACAGTATTGAGTATGTAAGTCGCTTTGGATAAAAGCATCTAACAAGTAACATGTCATGTAAAACGTCACTTAAAGTTGGGGTTGATACATAGAAAAACTGTAGTATTGTTAACTTAGTCTTTGAACAGATCATCACAAGTGTGTATTCTTTAGTTTGCTTAAAAAGCTACGTTTATGTGTAAAGAATGCACTGTTGTTTTATATCTTAAGGCAAATATCGTGTTAGTATTGTTACTGAAACTCAGGTGCCGTGTTGGCAATACTATTGAAAAATCTGAAGCCATACCAAGCTGTAAGAAGTCAAAACTAAGGCTGATAGTTGCCCTAGAATAAATGAAAAATGTAACTATTCAGGACTATATTTTAATAACCAAATAATCTGTAGCGTAAATGTAATCTATAAAATCACTAAAGTATTAAATAATGCTTGTCACGTTTTCCAGAGCCAAAATAAATGTCTTTAAAAAACTTTCTGATGAAGCTAAAATGAATAGATCTGCTATCAAAGAAGACATCTGAGACAGTGGTCATTTAATCTTCTGTAGATCAAAGATGTGTAAGGAGTTATTAGAGTGATCTTACAGAAGATCTTCTACATTTGTTTTAAGAAAATAAGACAAAAAAAATGACCAAACATGGAGATTATTTTTCTTGCACAAGAGTCGGAAGAAAAGCTCTTAAACCAGACCGGCATTCCAGACAGATTATCTCCTGAGATCCCTCCTGGTGGAGCGGATCTCTGCTCCCTGCCGTTAGCCTTCAACCCTGGGACTATTTTATTATTTTTTTATTTATTAATTCATTTGTTATTTATTTATTATTTATCTTTTTTATTTAATTACAATTTTTTTTAAATTTAATTAATGTTACATTCTGTTTTACTGGAGTGATTCAAGCCAAATATAGTCACTTTTTTCTGTGATTTTATTGAAAAAAAATGGATCAAAAGGATGCCAAAATAAATACATGATTTTATTTGATTTAACCTTTATTTAACCAGGTGAAAACATTGAGACAAAATCTCATTTACAATGTTGACCTGGCCAAGAAGGCAGCAACGTTACACGTTCTTACACATTACAGAGACATGTAAAATACAGAGAACACAACTAAGTAAACAAAAGACGAAAAGCAGTCACTACATTGAGCACATTTGGGAGAGTAAGAAAGGTACACTACTTATTACTGCAAGAGCAGCTGGTGGTAAGGACCTCAGACAACTTCAATTTAAAACAGGCTATAGGGACAAGTGCCATCAGTTTGAGGCTTGATTGAAGGTCATTCCAAGACCAAGGACCATAATAAAAAATACTAATTTTTCCGCATAGCAGGAACCTGGAACCGTATCCAGGCACTGGTTCTGAGGTAAGAGTCACAAACTGGAGCAAATCTGGCACATATATACAGTGGAAGCTTTCCTAAAATGGCTTTGTACAATAATAAAAAACATTGCTGCATCCCACGCATACTAAGTGAGGACCATCCAGTTAGGCTATACAGTGTGCAATGATGAGTCCTATAGGGTGCATTTGATATGTATCGCAGTGCAGCATGGTAGAGTGGGTCAGGTTTGGCCAAAACAGTGGGACAGGCAAATCTATAGATTGTATCACCGTAGTCAAGCTGGGACAGGAATAAGCCAGAGACCAACCTTTTACGGGAAGAAGTTGAAAAACAACGTTTAAGTCTGTAAAGGAAGCCAAGAGTGAATTTCAATTTCTTAGTTAGAACTTCAATGTGGTGTTTAAAGTTTAGATTTCTGTCCAACCAAAAGCAGGTTCTTGAAAAATCTGAATTCATCAGAGGTGGGAGAAGTACTCAGATCTGGTACTTGAGTAAAAGTAGAAGTACTCAGATCTGGTACTTGAGTAAAAGTAGAAGTACTCAGATCTGGTACTTGAGTAAAAGTAGAAGTACTCAGATCTGGTACTTGAGTAAAAGTAGAAGTACTCAGATCTTGTACTTGAGTAAAAGTAGAAGTACCAGAGTGTAGGAATACTCTGTTACAGTAAAAGTCCTGCATTCAAAATGTTACTCAAGTACAAGTAGAAAAGTATTATCATCAAAATATACTTAAAGTGTATATATATATATATATATATATAGGAGTTTGTTGTGGGTTTGGGATAAAAGAAGAAGGGGGGGGTTAGGGGGGTGACGTTTCAAAGGGAATTAGCAGGATTTGTGTGTGTGTGTCATTCCCCCCCCCCCCCACGTTGATCAGTCATGTTCGTCAGGGCTAATCTCAACATGGATCTGCAGCTTCTTTCTGCTTCTTAATTCAATCCGAGCCGCTCTTCACGGTGTGTTACATGTTCAGACAGAGCCATGTTGCACTGGGGAAGAAGAGGGTGTGTGTGTGTGTGTGTGTGTGTGTAGGGGGGAGGGTGGGGGTAGCTCGTCCCCTGCGCCCGATTGGATTAGAGGGAGAAGCGAATGATTGTTGAAGGCGAGCAAACAGGGTGACATGTTGAGGGGATTTTCATTATCGACATTGCAGAGAGGAGTTCATTCACAGCCTCTGTCTGCACACACACACACACACACATACATACACACACACATACACACACACATACACACACACATACACATACACATACACATACACATACACATACACATACACACACATCGCTGACTGACAGCCTAACGAGTCCAATTATCGAACTGAATCATTGCACGTTTCATTCAGAAGAGATTAGAGCTCAATAGGATTCAGATGCATGAATGGAGCGGGGACAGCGTTGCCAAAGCGCCAAACAATTAAGAGATTATAGTGAAAATAAACAATGTAGAGTTCATTTTAATCAAGGAACATGCAGAAAAACTATTAAAAAACTGTTATTACTCACTGTGTTATTTCTCCAGCAGTAAACACAGCCTGTGTGAATAACAATGTTTCCAAGATTTCATGTTGAATTAGTGCCAAAATGTTCTTGTCTTCAGGACTGTTTCATATTCATGGGTTTATCTCATAGCTGTTATGAAAAGCCTTTTCCTGTGTCCTCCTGTGTGAATTAAATCCTGGACAAATTCAAAGTATTTTGTGCAAAATGGGCATTACAGTTTCAAGTGAAATTATAACGAGAAAAACAAACGTACACTGAATATGTTAACGTGCACACACAGGGTCATCAAATTAAAATGTTATTGAACTAAATATGCAAGATCAGAAGCCAACTACCAACACTTATTTGTGACATTTTCTAAGACTTCTAGGCATTAAACTTTAGTTTCAACAACAGTATTTATTATATATTTCAGTGTAAAGCATATCCTTTCACAAACGTCTTAATATTTTTTAGAAACAACTGTTTTAAGGCACCTTAGTTTTACCTGTTGAAGCCCAGTGGGTGTTCTGCACTGTTTGTCATTTGTTATCTGTTTTGTTCGTACAAATTCAGCAACATTTCTTTACAAGTTTGGACACAAATGGTATACCAGGATTGCGACACTAAGAGCATTTCCGAAAAAAACCTTAACACTAACAACTTTCTACTTGTAAAACTACAAATACATCTTTCCAGGGTTTATGTAAAAAAGTATAAACTCTGAATTTTAAATAGTTCTTTTTGTGTTCGTCTTTCAGAGATCGTAGATGGCAACGCTAAGATGACCCTGGGAATGATCTGGACCATAATCCTCCGCTTCGCCATCCAAGACATTTCTGTGGAAGGTGTGTGTGTGTGTGTGTGTGTGTGTGTGTGTGTGTGTGTGTGTGTGTGTGTGTGTGTGTGTGTGGTGTGTGTGTGTGTGTGTGTGTGTGTGTGTGTGTGTGTGTGTGGTGTGTGTGTGTGTGTGTGTGGTGTGTATGTGTGTGTGTGTGTGTGTGTGTGTGTGTGTGTGTGTGTGTGGGTGTGTGTGTGTGTGTGTGTGTGTGTGTGTGTGTGTGTGTGTGTGTGTGTGTGTGTGTGTGTGTGTGTTGTGTGTGTGTGTGTGTGTGTGTGTGTGTGTGTGTGTGTGTGTGTGTGTGTGTGTGTGTGTGTGTGTGTGTGCTGTTGTGTGTGTGTGTGTGTGTGTGTGTGTGTGTGTGTGTGTGTGTGTGTGTGTGGATCATTGCCACACGCTTCTTGTTCACTCCTGTTATTGTAAAGAGCTGCTCTCTGTCCTCATTTGCATGTGAAAGCGCTTCTCATTGACTCACTGTCCCTTCTCTCATTGAGTGAATAGACTGCACATATATCACATACTGTATGTAATGCATGCTGATTACAATATGAATGTTTCACACACTGCTCTTTTGCTCTCCAGACAGACCAGTACCTCTCCTCGCTGAACACATATAATGCACTTACTGAGTAATCCAATTTAAATGTCAGGAGTGATCAGCTGTGATTTGCTCGGCTTCAGATTCCAGCGCTGGGAGTTTTTAAGTATTTCATTTAAATGTTTGGGCACAACAACGTATAATAGACTCCTCTGGATAAGTAGAAACACTTTCCATTCACCTCCCTTTAACCCAGCTGTAAACAGGGATTAGTGAGAGTTTTTCATAATAAAAGCCAGGGTTTTTCAGAATAAAAGCCTGCGTTTCTCCACAGAGACGTCTGCCAAAGAGGGGCTGCTGCTGTGGTGTCAGAGGAAGACGGCGCCCTACAAGAACGTCAACATCCAAAACTTCCACATCAGGTGAGGAACACACACAATGAGCATCAACAGAAACATCAGGATACTTTATTTATCCCGGGAAGATTGGGTTTGTTGCTCCGTTTTAGAATAAATAAAATAGAATAAGATAAAATAGGAATATTTATATAACTGTAAGAAGAAACATTTGCAATAATACATTTAAAATGTGCAGTAAAAATTGAAATTGAATACAAATATTTATAAAACATACAGTATTAAAGGTGGGGTAGGTCATTTTGGAGAAACCAGCTCGAGTGCGCTAGAATTTGAAAATACACAGCCGGAACAAATCTGCCACTTCCTTATAGAGCCCCTCCTCTGATTGGTTGTGCTTTTTACAGTACCACGGCTTCCACAGATGACATTTTTTTATGGATTTTTTGTCAAAGCACTTAAGATATTCATTGCTATCGGGATGTTAAGAGCATTCCATGGAATATAACAAAAAGTGTATCTCGAGCCGGTTTCTCAAACTTACCTTCCCCACCTTTAAGTGAAATTGTGGAGTAAAAATATAAAATGAAAAAGTCTAAATATAAATCTACAAAAATAAAAAGGGAAAGTAAAAAACATTGTACTACAATAAATAAAAACAATAGTGATGATAGTCATTGTGTCAGTTGTCTGGAAATACTGACCAATAGGATTTAGCCTTATATCCCCACAGTGGGTTATTTATCCCTCAGTTTTACGTCACAGGATCTGTGTGTGTTGCATTATTGAGAGAAGACGCTGTGATCCTCAGATGAAGATGAAAGAGGAGAGAGGAGGTAGAGTAGGGTAGGTCATGAGGAGAGAGGAGAGGAGGTCATGAGAGGAGAGAGGACTTTGAAGTGGACATCAGTCAGGAGATGAGAGGAAACATAATGCCACCCCTCCTGCAGGGATGACGTATGTTCATAGTCTGACCCTGAAGGCAGCATCTCTAAAAGGGAAAGAGAAATAGGGAAAGAAGTGAAATTCCTCTCTTCTTTCCTCCGGTCATTATGTTTCACCCTCATCACACATGTCTCTCTGTTTCAGCTGGAAAGACGGGTTGGGTTTCTGTGCACTCATTCATCGACACCGTCCAGAACTCATCGATTACGCAAAACTGCGAAAGGTGAGCCAGTTATGATTTTATATATTACATATTATATGTGATAAACATATAGAGAAGACACACACACACACACACACACACACACACACACACACACACACACAGGAACACACACACACATACACATTACATACACACACACACACACACACACACACACACAGGAACACACACATACACACACACACACACAGGAACACACACACACACACACACACACACCCACACACTCTCTCTCACACACACACACACACACACACACACACACATATACATACACACACACACACAGTAACACACACACACACACACACACACACACACACACACACACACACACAGGAACACACACACACACAGTAACACACACACACACACAGGAACACACATACACACACACACACATACACACACACACACACAGGAACACACACACACACACACACATACACATACACACACACACACACACACACAGGAACACACACACACACATACACACACACACACACACACACACACACACACACACACACACTCCTCCTCAGTTATTCCAGCACACGTTGAGCTGTATGTTTGATATGCGATTGAAGTGGCAAAAATCTTAAAAAATAGAACTAGTAGAAATAGAACTCCATCAGCGATGGTTCCAGGGGGAAATCTTGGTTTTATATCTGCTGTTTCTCAGGACGACCCGATGACCAACCTGAACACGGCCTTCGACGTCGCTGAGAAATACCTGGACATCCCCAAGATGTTGGACGCAGAAGGTGAGCAAACAGTCAAACAATGATGAGAAAAAACTGACTTTAACCTGCATTAAAATACCAAAGTATTCCCTCCAAGAAGTGAAAGAGACCAGACATCTTCTATAACACCTGACAGTGATTACCGCGCTCTGCAGAGGTGTGAACACGGAAGAGCTGCACGTTGTTTCTACACATTCCTGCAGTGCTGAAATGCTGACTCATATCTCCGTTTTAGGACTCATTCCTGCAGCTCTCTATACTTGAGTTTTGATTTAGAGACCCCTAGTGGCAGGAAGATTCGAAGTATGCATTGAACACATTGAAGGCACATCTTCATTCATATTTAATGTATCCTGAAACGTGAAAGTGTATTTTCTGCTGATTAATTTCTGTGTTTTTGCAAATCCCATCCTCACATCATCACATCATCACATCATCCCATCATCACATCATCACATCATCACATCCTCACATCATCACATCATCACATCATCATCACATCATCATCACAT